ATACACCAGTTTAAACCAAACAAACCAGTTTAAACCAACAAATAAACCAGTTTAAACCAAACAAACCAGTTTAAACCAACATGGTATTAATTTGTAGGGACGGTTTAGATCAAACTGTAAATATTATCCACTTAAAATATCTGCATTTCTATAATGACTAATTAGTTTGTTTGCCTGTAAAATTCTGTTATTTTCTCGTTTTTAAATATTTCTAAACTGTAAAACCAAACTCTGAGCTGAAAGAGGCGAGAGTCTCCTCAGAACTCACACAAACTGTTTTTCCTTCATGAGTTCCTCCTTCAACATCGTCTGACTGGTGGTTTACAGATAAACACCGAGTGCAGCTGCTATAAAATCATTAAGTCGCACCGTAAACCGGCGCGTGTGACCCGGTTTGTCGGTTCAACCGGCAGCTCTGCCAGCGCCGAACCTGCTCCGACCTGCTGCCGACGCTCATTATGGCAGAATTAAAGCCAGACTGCGAAGGGAGGAGGTTCAGGGTTTGGTCCCGACGCTGCCGTTTGTTAATCCTGAGAATAAAAAAGCTCCATCAGTCACCGCAAGTCGCTGCTGATCCAACGACGTGTTCAGACAGAAACACAAAAGAGGGATGATGCTGCAACACAAACGCTGTCCTTTACACACTGGCAGGAATGTAAAATGTGCAGTTTAAGGCAATCAGAAGTAAGTTCACTGCTGAGAAGAAGAAAACATCTGGAATAATTTATTAAACCAGAAGGAATTTACACAGATGTGTTCTTCACAGGAAGTTAAAGCAGGTTTCCTTCATGTCATACGTCTGTTCAGTTTGTCTCTAATGGTTTGTGCTGGTTTGTGCTCATATTATTTGTTTTATTCTCAGTTATCGTGCGATTTAGTTGCATGATCCCGTTAGAGGATCCTGTTTACCTGGCATCAGGTTAAACCTTTTCTTTAGCACCAAACTCAACGTCCAACCTGCGACAACATGCACTGCAGCAGCGATCAGGAATTCCAGACATGCAGCAGCATCAGCCTCTAAAGGTGAACCAGGAGCTGCAGTGGCTCCTCTCCACCGGCCTCAGCTCTGCAGCAGCAAGTTCAGTTTCTACACAAACCCACAGCAGCCGGACACACAGAGAGCCGGCGATGCCAAGAAGGAGCAGCAGCAGAGTCTGGGTTTAATCCTGCAGGACGATGCAGAGGACGACCTGTTATGTAACACCCAGAGTGCTGCTGCAGCACAAACGTCCAGCAGCACGCGTCACCGCACGGACACACACAACTGTCAGCACGCCTCTGATGACAGGCCTCAACCAACACACACACACACACACACACACACACACACACACACACACACACACACCTCAGTTGTTACCTGAGAATCTGGCAGAGGTCAGATTTAACTTTCTGCCCACAAACTGAACATAAACTCAGAATCTGTTCACAGAAAACAGATTAAAAGCTGATGACATGTTTGTAAAACGCAGCATCAAACAACAAACTGCAAAATGTGAATTAAAAATAACACACAATAAAATGTAAACTCTAAATGTAACAGCCACCACCAGACTCTGTTCTACAGCTGGATCAGCAGGTTGGGTCCTAATCCTGCACATTAAACCGCCTGATGCAGCCAAACATTCAAACCTTTACAGACTATAACAACAGTTTTGTGTGACTTGTTCCAGACCAGCAGCGACGTCACCTTTTCAGGAAACACGCTCGTTCTGTTGCAGGGGGTGACGCCGAACTCCAAATCCTCAAACGTGCCACTTAAACGCCTCCTGGTCTCATGATATCCGAGCCGAATTTATCCTCGGGGTCTCTGAATCTTCGTCAAGCACTTAAATCGTCTCTAACGCGTCGCCTTCGGTCCCGGATTCACGCTCCAACCTTAAACCGCCACGTTTTTTAACGGACTTCTACGTTCGAGCAGACGCTGCAGATTCTGGGCTCGTCGCTGCTGCAGCAGAGACTCGCGCTCAGATCAGGTGGAGATGACGAGCAGGTGGAGATGACGAGCAGCCTGAGCGCACACTCACCGTCACCTGAGTCCCGCGTGTGCGTGGATTTAGTGCGGCTCACCTGCGGAGCGTCACCTGGACGCGGCGTCTCCGGAGTCAGTCAGGGCTGCTGCCTCCAAAGTTCCTCCACAGATGATCAGCTGCAGTCTGACCGGCTGAGTCACGACGCACGCACACGCACACGCACGCACCTGTGGACACGCACAGCCAATCATCGTCCAGCCTGCTCACAGGTTCAAGCACTACATTGGTCCGCGGAGGAGCACATTCAGCTCTTAGACATGTGTTAGAATAAATATAATCATATTATCTCCATGTACAGATGCGTCCTGGAATTGAAACAGGTCGCTGCTGTTTGATCAGATGAAGCAGAGCTGATGAGTTCCTCCTGATTTCCTCTGATGTGACTGATGATGGAGACTCTCTGACTTTGTTCTGGATGTTTCTGAGTCCAGCTGAAGCCTTCCAGGTACCATCCGGCTCATCAGGGGTTAAATGTGTGGAAGTTTCCTGCAGATGGAGAACAGATGAGCTCACCTCAGATCACCTCCTCAGCCGCGCGTTCCTCCTCCGACACTGACATCTAGAGGAGGTTCAGCTCAGCTCCAGCATCAAGTAAAAGCACTTCATGAAGTAAAATGATTATTGTTGCTGCAGATGTTTGAAGGCTTCATCTGCTGAGAATCCATTTCTGTAGTGAAATATAACAACAATAATATCCAGCAAAATCTCAGAAAATTGAATTAAATATTTTTTTTAAATGACACAAACTGTTAATAATCAAATTAAATAAAGGTATTTATTTATTTATAAAATAAAATTACATATTCACTAAAATATATATTATTTTACAGGTATCTGCTGTTTATTGATTTTTTAATGTATATTACAATTTAAAAGCTTATTTTAAAATCATTATTTTTATTAGCAGTGCAGTCGTAGTATTAAAAATAACAATTATAATAAGATGATTATTAATAATAACCATAATGATTTAACAAAACAAGCATTTTACAGATTTTCCTGTTTTGCTAAATTTCACAGAACCTCCAGTCAAATCACAGAAAACAGTAAAAATGTTCACTTTAACTGAAAAAACAAAAAAGCACCACCATTTACAGTAAAAAAAATAAAAAATAAAATCTGTATTTTTCCAAATACTGATTTGTTCTTTTACATTGTGTGACCAAGAAATTACAGTTTTACAGGATTTAAATCCATTAAAAATATAATTTTACAGATATTTGAGATAAATTATGTATATTAAGGATAAAAATGGTAAATCATTTACTGAAACAGTTATTAAAACAGATCAGAGCTGAAAATCATCTGCATTTCTGTTAATAGTCTTTTGTTCTTTAACAATGATTTGCAACAAAAAATATACAATTTTTATTGTATTAATTCAAAGATATAATTATTTTCCACCATTTATTGTGTATTTTGAGCCTCTTGCTGCAGATTTTCAGTTTTTACAGAATGTTTTTACGGTGTGGATCTGAATGTGCAGTTTGGTCGGTTTGAGATTCACTCTGGTGTTCTGTTGGTGCTCTGTTGGTGCTCTGTTGGTG